TTTGTAAAAAACCGTATTACAAACATCAGGTGACAAATGTATTTTTAAATATATACATTGCCCTACAGATATTACAGATGACAAAGACAGGGCCTAACTCAACAGCAAGAATACAGGGGCTCAATAAGCATTAGCTAAATAGACATAATGTGACTTTCTTCTCAGTTGACCTGGACACAGCTACGTAACTTGTTTAAGTGGACAATGCTCCAATCACACAGTTCCTTAAAAGTCTGAACTGCATTATATGCTGCCTAGAACCTCTCCTGAACCACTCTGGGGATAATCGCTGAGAGAGACAGTCCACTTTCACAAAATCAGACACCTCATAGCTAAATCCCTCACTAAAGTCAGTCCTCTGGCTCTACCATCAACCATTCATTCCACAAGTATTTACTGAGTGCATACCAGGTATTAACACAACACATGGAAGACACAAAAATAAACCATTTTTGTCCTAAAGGAAGGTATAACGTAGTAGGCACAGAGGAATGCAATTCCAGTCTGCAAGTATGCTGCATACCAACGCCAATTTGCCAGAACTATGCTAGGAATACCAAGATTTGCATGGGCTCAGCCATGAGTCATGAGCATACAATCATACCCAAGAGATCAGGCATGCATCCCAAAAGACATAACACAAAGCCAAGTGCGAGAAGTGTGAGAACAGTACAGTGAGGTTTACAGACAGCCCTGCACTCCATCCTGGCTTTGCCGCTGTGTCGTCTGGGCATACTCCTTAAGTTCTGAGGGTCTCCACTCTGTCATCTGGATGAGGATTAAATCAACTAGAGATCACAGCATTTAGAAGCTAGCACAGAAGACACATTCAATACATGATAGCTACTCTCATTGATAGGCACGCTCATTTAAATATCTGACGAGATCTTAAGACAGATCTGGAAACACAGGCACTAAGAATAAGTCTAGCTCTTCACTCTTGATATTGGCAGGACTCCTCTTTTCCCAGAGACGGGGATTTGTGGGAGTACTGAGGAAACACAGAGGAGGGGAAAGAGGCAAATCTGGCCTTGTACTCTGACCCAAGTGGGCAGGTGGAAAAATGGGTCTGAGCACAAAGAAAAGTCAGAAAATGACTTTTGAAATGAAATAGAGAACAGACCAAAGGAGGGAAATGTTAGGGACTATAGCTGAAACAGTATTCCCACAAGCTTCCAGTATAGGCAACGGAGCGGAGCAAGGGACAACCCGAAAAGTAGGCTGGGGCCAAACCCTGGGGACACAGAAAACCAAATTAAGAAATGTACACTCTATCCTGGATACAGATCTGGGGGCAGCAAACAAGCGGTCAGGAAGATGACTATGCAGCAGATAGACAGGAAGGGCAGGAAGAGAGATGAGGGCAGCCAGTTAGAGACTGCAGAGGCAGGAGGCAGTGAGTACCTGAAGCAGCCTGGGCTAGAGTTAACAGAGGCAGAAGGCACCTACATGGGAAACAGTCAGGCCTGGTGAAATGAACACAAAAGATAAAGGCGAAAAGAAATCTGAAGCCTGGACCAGAACAGTGACACCATTGTACAAGGACAGACAGCGAAGAGGTTTGAGTCATCTCTTGGTTAAAGCGAGAGGAGAAGGCATTGGGTCTCACCATAGATTCACAGCTACTAAAAACTGTACTGTAGAATCAGCACCAGATAAATGTATTTGCACTACGAACAACCTATGCCCCTTTTAAACATTGTTAGTCCTTACCTCTTACCTTCTTAAGAAACTAGGGTCAAAGCAGTCCTTCAACACTCCTTAGGCCTCAACCTTAATTAGGCTGAAGAGCACAGACGTTACTAATCTCCCCAGAAGGGATTGTCTCAGAGAGAATCAAGTTTTCTGCTCATTTTAGCAGAGTATTAAGAAAGTGGACTAGTCAGAGTTATTAAATTACCGCTCCATTTCCTGATGTCCATTCAGTCAGGAGTTTCTGGTTTCTGGTAACTTTAGAAGTTCAGCTTGAAAGGAGACCTGCCTATTTCAGTGCCACCCCCCCGCCCAGGGCCCCGCAGCCGGACCACCACACTATCACCTCTGAGCTTGCCCGACACTGGTTCCATAATTCACTGGATGTCCATCAAAAAGCGCTGCTCCGTGTCACCTCTCCTGTTACTGCCTGGAATAAATTAAGTCCCATGTTGCGAGTTTTAGTCTCATCTCCCAAGTTATTCTCTCAAACTGCCTAAGTCCTAACTATGTTTGGCCCTTCGTATTCCAGCAAGTGCTTTTCCACTCGCTGTGCTTTTCCTCTCAACATCACCAACAGGCATTCATTTTGTACAAGTGGTTTCAAAACTCTGGAATCCAGGAGATGCTGATTTACATATAAGAGATCCTGTAAGAAAATTTGCAAACTTGCTCTTAAGAACTAAAATATTTACCTTTATACTAAAATATTTAACTAAAATACCTTCTGGGTATTAAGTCATAATCTTTTGTTTGGTTTTCCTCAATTCTAATTATTTAGCAACTAATCTTGACCAAACTACCTCATACATTAAAGTAAATCTCAAAACGGGATGTATATCTTAAGAATTACCTGAGGGGGCTTGTTTAAAATAACTTAATAAAATTATAATAATTTAAAAAAAAAATAACTGAAAAGGCAGAACCTAGCCCCTTCCAGAGACTTCAAGGAATACAGCCCAGCACACATGTTTAACAAGCATTCCAGGTGACTGCAGTTTTTTTTGAAAGACACTTCTTTAAAGCCTTTATCATATAGGTAGTCATCTAAACTTACCAGGTCCTTCCAGTAGGACCCTACTCCCTGGTCTCCTACAGTTCACTGTGAATGCAAGGTAGGTTTGGTGCTGCTGCTGTTTATTGAGGGGAAAGGAAGGCAAATGAAGAAACAATATTAAGAGGAGAAAAGAAAAGCAGACATTTTTATGAACTACCACTTCATTATTTAGGTTGCAATTAAAGCAGGAAATCTTAACCTTTAAGGTATGGACTTTAGGATTTAACACTAATCCTGCTGCTGCTGCTGCTAAGTCACTTCAGTCAGGTCCAACTCTGTGTGACCCCATAGATGGCAGCCCACCAGGCTCCCCCGTCCCTGGGATTCTCCAGGCAAGAACACTGGAGTGGGTTGCCATTTCCTTCTCCAATGCATGAAAGTGGAAAGTGAAAGGGAAGTCACTCAGTTGTGTCTGACTCTTAGCGACCCCATGGACTGCAGCCTACGAGGCTCCTCTGTCCATGGGATTTTCCAGGCAAGAGCACTGGAGTGGGCTGCCATTGCCTTCTCCGAGCACTAATCCTATAAGCATTGAATTCTCCACTAAATAAATGCCTTTCTCCACTCAAGCCCAATTTTCCCTAAGAATTTCAGGACTTACCATTTAGCCCCAAATGTGGTCAATTTGCTGCAAATTCATAAACATTTCAAAGCAGTAGTCCTTACCTAGCTGTCTTCTTCCATTTTTTAGTACTCATTAAAACCAAAAACAAATCAAATGATACAAAGGAGAGTGATAAGTTTACTTGGAAGAGATGTGCTAAATAACTTTTTAAATTTTAATTATAATTTGGCAGTAGGCTTTTCGTTCATGGCACTGCACTTCATTAAATGGCTAAAATTAACTATGATCACATAGAATTGAGAACACCAGATCTTATCAATTAAGTGGGTGCAAAGCTTGTTAAAAAATTCATAAACATTCTTTTTACTCCCATTGGTATTAAAGCCAGGATTATCTATAGAATTGATATAAAGATCAAATGCCTATACAACTTTTTAAGTGCAAATTTATGAGACAAGTAGGGAGATCAGACAGAAAGGAATATTAATAGGACTTTATTTCATTTTACTTGCAAAATAAAGGTCTGAGTAACACAATATATTTTATATCAAGCTAAAAGCCTTTTTAGGGGTGGCTCAGTGGTAAACAATCTGCCTGCCAATGCAGACTGGGGGGATATGGGTTTGATCCCTGGGTCAGGAAGATTCCCTGGAGGAGAAAATGGCAACGCAATCCACTCCAGTATTCTTGCCTGGGAAATCCCACTAACAGAGGAGCCTGGCAGGCTACAGTCCATGGGGAAGCAAAAAGAGTAGGGCATGACTGAGCGACTAAACAACAAACAACAAAAGCCTTTTTTATTTCAATTATTTTCCATTATTTACTGTGTCTTTGAAGTCTATCGCCATTTTCTGTACCCATTCTTCAAAAAGGTAATAACTGATTCTTTTAGAAAAAAAGATAGTAAATAAAAATGCAAATTAATTGTTCCAGTCATCCTGAAGGCAAACATATCTAAATACACTGTCAGACTTAACTGAGAACTCAAGCTTACTTAAGACGGCAATGGTCAAGTATGAGTTCCATTTCTTAAAAATTACAGATACAATTAAACAAGGATGACCAAAAAAAAAAAAAATCAGCAAAAATTAAAGTAGATATATCAAGGTGATAAGATTATATCTCCCCCACCTGATGTGTTAATAGAACATCATCCATGTTGCATATCCCTCCAAAGGGGCACCCTGCAAGCCAGCATCAGGCCAGTGAGGTAGGCCATGACCCACCCAGCCCTCAGTAGATAGTACTAAGGGAGGATTGTCACCAGCTCACCAACACCCAAAGCAAAGATTTTTTTCTTTCCCTTGGTTCTACCAGGTTAACTCTGAGCTGGAAAAAAGACCACTGCAGGGAAATGGACTCACTCCAGGAGCTTGAGGTTGCTCTCCCCTGAGCCTGGGGTTTCCCTCCCTGAGAATTAAAAAGGAAGATGATAGGACTGGACAAAGATAACCATTCCCTGACCCACTTTTCTCGGTACTTCTCTAAACAACTCACTTCCAGCAGTTTACACTGCTACCAAAAAAAAAAAAAGTAATTTAGATTTACTGGAAGAGAGGGAGGGAAATAGGAAGAAAAGGAGATGAAAATAGGCCCCTCTGCAGTTCCAAGCTTCCCTGTTCTGAAATGTCTCATCCACGTCGATTCACACGTGAGCTGGCGCCCGCGTTTCTTCGTCGTTTAAGGATGTGCCCCTTTTGGAGGTTCGCTCACAATCACTCTGGCTCCGAGACCGGCTCGGGGAGCTTGTTCCCAGTTCAGGCGGGTGAAAGAGACGTTAAGGTCCCCCACCTACCTTCAGGGTCGGGCCATGGCGGCCTATCTTTCTCCGTTTCACAGGGTTTTGGAGGTCCGTTCGGACAGCGCTCCCTCGAGGCCCAGCCCGTCCTCTGCGGCACTAAAAGCAGAGCGGAGCCGGTCAGTCTTTCCGCCCCGGGGCCGCGGCGGGAAGTGCGCGACGAGGGCGGGGCTTCCGCGTCCGCAACTGCACTCCCCCCGGCCACCGCCCGGCCCCGGTCCGCCCCTGACCTTGACCACGGCCGCGCGCCGGCTCGGGTCTCGGACCCGCGCACCTGCACGCGGCCTGGAAACGTGGAAACGTGGCATCGCGGGAAGCGACAAACCCCCGGGTCCCGGCTGGACTCGAAGATAAACAAGTCTCGCTAAAATACGCGTCCTACTTTCCCGGCAAGTCCAGAATTCAGAAAAGCCTCATAAAGAAGGCTAAGGCACAATTACCTCAGTTTTTATTAAAAAACACCTCCCAACTTCCTCTTCCTTTGAACTCTGCATCGCTAAAGCATGCAGAAAACCAACTTCCAAAGTTTCTTTGAAATCTGAAACCACGGGGCAAGATTAAGGACACTCTGCCCGCTGAGGGTGCTTTTATTTAAGAGCCTTGAAATAATAAAGCAACACCCTACATGACAGCCTGGGTGCAACTGGTCCAATTTTACAAACGGGTGAACTCAGGTAGAGAATGAGTCAGTGAGAATTAAAAATAGACTCCAGTTATCCTGACATCAGGTCCATTCATCAGACAAAAACCACCCAAGCACCCAAAAGTACAGTCTTATAATAACAATAATAGGACCGATTCTGCAGTGCTTTGCATATATCAACACTAGATATTCACCACTACCGTTTCATAATATGTTTTATCAGGTCCATTTCACAGATAGGGAAGAGGCACAGAAACACTTTCCTGCCCAAACTCAAGCAAGCTACTCAACAGCAGAGCCAGGATTCAAACCCGGCAGTGCAGCGTAGCCTTTAAACGCCTACCCGGCCTGATCCAGTGAGATGAGCACCAGTTCCTCTTGGCTGTCTCCTGTAACAGCCTGGGGAGTCACAGCAGTCTGAGCGTGGTCTCCCCGCTTGCACACATGGAGACACATACGACTTGCCAACCTCTCGCAATTTCTGAAGATTCGGTGGTGTGAAGATTACTCGAAAGGCATCCTTAAATTGTTGCACTCGCTTAAGGCTGACAAGGCTCTGTTAAACTATTCATCATATTTGCACCTACATTTCAAGACTCGTGCTCTACGAAATGATACAAAACCCCATTTTTCTCCAATATTCTGCAAACCGTCCCTATAAAGAAAAGCTAGAAAGGAAACTACCAGTCGACAGAGGGCCGGTCTCACCTACCGACGCGCTAAGCTTTCACCGACCTGGGCGAAACAATGACCGACGCCAAAAAGCTCCCTCGCGTTAGAGAAGCCTCACCCCTGCTCAGACACGCCTTCAAACGTCTCCCTTCCCCCTGCATCCCCAAGGCATCCAGCAGGAGGATGCTCTGGGCCCGGCGAGCTCACAGCCCGGGGGCTCCAGGCTTCCTCCGTTTCCACTGAACCCGAAGCTTACACGAACGCGAGCCCTCCGACACCCGGCGGTCCGCCGGCCGTCCCAGCGCTTTCAGCTCCGGGTGCAATGCGGGACTGGAGCGAACTGAGCGAAAGGTCCGCGGGCTCCCAGTGGCTCCGAGAAGCCACGCCCTCCTCTTAAATGGGCGGGCAAACCGCCAGAGTCAGAATGACAAAGCAAAAATCCACTCCTCGTGCAGCCCTGGCGCCTACGCGGATGGGCTTAGCAAAGTGGGATCTCCTAATTGGGTGACAGCACATCCTCTTCCTGCTCACAGCGCCCCCAACCCAAAAAAGGTGCAAACGCAACTTAAGGAATGTGTGCCTTAACTGAACTGGACTATGCCCTCAGGCAGTGACTCTGGAACTTCGTTACCAATTGTGATCCGGCAAGAAACTAAAAATTCTGACACCTGGTACACACTCCCAAACATTCCGATGTATTAATAATTGGTATTGGCTGCGACCTGGGCGTCTGAGGTTTTTTAAAACTCCCTGAATGATTCTAGTGAACAGCAGTTTGGGATCCATTACCCTACCGTAATGGATTAGTCAGTCTGGTGATTCTGTAAAGGAAGTGATGTGTCTTTTAAAAGAAACTTCCAGTCCATCCTGACAAATTCTGAAAAGTGACAAATTCTTAGCAAGCGTAACTGCGCTTTGTAGTACTTCTTCCTTATCCTGCTCAGATTTCGGTCTGTCGTGTTTGTCTTAAGGAAAACTGAGAGTGTGTTTAACTCCAGCAATGCCAGCCACCTGCAGCCAGCTGCCCAGGTGAGCCACACTCTCTCATACCTCCTTGCTCTTACTCATGTTCTTACTCAGCACTTGATACTGGTAGGTGGCTATGAATATTTGCTGAATAAATAAATAACCGAATGCCTTCCCCACTGTGCCATATGGTTACTGCCTGACTGAAGCACGCTCAGATGAAAGGGTTGCTGGTCTCTAAAGAATCCATGAAGCCACAATTTGCTCCTCTGAGTCCCTTTCCCAGTGCAAGGCAGAGGCTTAGTGAAGCCTCTCGGGTTCTGAATGTATGGGCACGTGTGCATGCACACACACACACACACAATACATTTAGGGAAGGGGAAAAAACCTTTTCTCCAGTCTCCTAGGTTCTTCTAGAGGTCTAGGAATTAAATTGTCATGAGACAGATTACAGGAGAACATAAAATTTAACTACACACTTACGAAATTAGCATGAGAACATGAGGTCCAAGGAAAAGTTAGGCAGGTTGAAGCTTGTATACTGTCCCAGAGAAGAAGGAGGTAAAGGGTTTGGGACTTCAAAGGCAAGAAAGGAAATTTACAGGAAGATCAAATGTCTGATAAACATTTGTTGGGTCATTCAGGTTTCCCAGGTGGCTTAGTGGTAAAGAATCCACCTGCCAATGCAGGAGACAAAAAAAATGCGGGTTTGATCCCCAGGGTTGATCCTTGGGTCAGGAAGATCCCCTGGAGGAGGGCATGGCAACCTACTCCAGTATTCTTGCCTGAAGAATCTCATGGACAGAGGAATCTGGCGGGCTAACAGTCCATGGGGTTGCAAAGAGTCGGACCAACTGAGAACACACGCACGCAGGCACGTGGGACCCAGAGAGAACCTCAATCAAACAGGCCTTGCTGAGTTCCCCCAGTCTACCACACCTAGTTCACGCTGTACTTTTCTATGATGATAATTGTTTTTCCTGGAATAGGCCCTGTTGGCAGGTAAGGGGACAAGGTAAAAAGTTCTTCCTGGGGTTTTGTTTCTTAAAAATAATCGACCCCTACACTGTTGGTGGGAATGCAAATTAGTACAGCCACTATGGAAAACAGTGTGGAGATTTCTTAAAAAGCTGGAAATAGAACTGCCATATGACCCAGCAATCCCACTTCTGGGCATACACACTGAGGAAACCAGATCTGAAAGAGACACGTGCACCCCAGTGTTCATCGCAGCACTGTTTATAATAGCCAGGACATGGAAGCAACCTAGATGCCCATCAGCAGACGAATGGATGAGGAAGCTGTGGGACATATACACCATGGAATATTACTCACCCATTAAAAAGAATTCATTTGAATCAGTTCTAATGAGATGGATGAAACTGGAGCCCATTATACAGAGCGAAGTAAGCCAGAAAGATAAAGACCATTACAGTATACTAACACATATATATGGAATTTAGAAAGATGGTAATGATAACCCTATATGCAAAACAGAAAAAGAGACTCAGATGTATAGAACAGACTTGTGGACTCTGGGAGAAGGCGAGGGTGGGATGTTTCAAGAGAACAGCATTGAAACATGTATATTATTTAGGGTGAAACAGATCGCCAGCCCAGGTTGGGTGCATGAGACAAGTGCTCGGGCCTGATGCACTGGGAAGACCCAGAGGGATCAGGTGGAGAGGGAGGTGGGAGGGGGGAAAGGGATGGGGAATACATGTAAATCCATGGCTAATTCATGTCAATGTATGACAAAAACCACTGCAATGATGTAAAGTAATTAGCCTCCAACTAATAAAAATAAATGGAAAAAAAAATAATAATCGACCCCAAAGAATCCTCAAACCAAAGAGACACATTTTGGGGTGACAAGTTTTGTTCCCCTACAAGATGCTAAACTGACACTCTCCCTGTTTGGTGGTTATTTATGTGCATGTCTCACCTGATTCTTGCGGTGACCCAAAGACCAAAGAGCAGATAAAACCAAGGAGGGTCTTGGAATGCAGGAACAGAAAAACCAGACCCTTATCGTCCTTCCCTCCCCTCTGTGGTAACTGTTAATGGATTTCAGGTCCTCCTGAGCAGTGTAACCTGCCTCCCTTCCTGCCCCACAGGGAGAAGGTATTTGCCTTACTCTTCCACCCCCCACCTAGTATATGTGCCTCATCCAATTAGTAAATGACCCTCAAGACCCCCGTCCCACTCCTGGTACCTGGGTGTAAAAGTGGACCAAGGACCCCTGTTCAGCGTCAGTTCTCGCTTGAGCCAGCCCGCTGTTCTAACAGCGCCTCCCACTCTAATAAACTTTATTTCCCTCTCATTCTGTCTAATGTCTGGAAATTTTTTTCCAACCTACGCATGGACCACAACAGTTCTGGAGTCCTGAGAAGAGAGGATAGGTCTAGCACATAAGTGTTCAGGAAACAAGGTGACCTAAGAAAGCAAAGAATGGAAAATGTGAAGGAAAGCAAGCTGGGATTAAGGGAGGAAACGTAACATTTACTCCTGGCTGCGATGCTGAGCTCTGTATTAATCATATATTTGCCTTGTTTCATTCAAGCTACACAAAACAATCCACGAATCAGGGTCATCACTCTGCATTCTTAAAAATCTTTAGAAACTACAGTTTATTTCAAAAGCATGTCTTAGGATACAGAAGGACTTTAAAATCATTTAACTTAATGTGCTAAAAGCAAGTGATAAGGGTTGACTTCTAAGAGCCTTCTATGACAGACAGGCAGAATTACTAGAAAAGGCTAGATAAGGCATTTTTAACTTGACACCGTTTTTTGTTTGTCTGGCCATATGGCAGGCAGATCTCAGTTCCCTGATCAGGGATCAAACCCATGCCCCTCTGTACTGGAAGCACAGAGTTTCAACCACTACACCACTAGGGAAGTCCCCTTCACACTGTTCTTAAGTGAGCAGATTATATTAATAACACAAATCCCAAGAGTAGCTGGCTCCATGTAGTTACTTTTCATGTTTAAAAAAAAAAAAAAAATCACCATTAAAAAAGGTTTCACTTTCCTTTCAAACGATTCTTGCTGCAATTCCAGGCCCAGGTATCTTATCCTTGTTGGG